TTTAACTTGTATCAGCATTGTTTTCACGTGGCCATCCAGTCTTGTGCCCATGGGATGAGTTGACCCGATGAAAGGTGCCAAGTCCAAGTACTATTTAAGCCTAGAAGCAATGCGTGGATGATTTCTAAGCCTCCAGTTGAGGCGTCGATGGGGCACCAGACGATGTACTGACCCTATTCGGTCTCGCAATCCCCAAAAAATGATTATATCTATTTTGGTCACAATATTCTTGGTTGTAACACCGGGTGACTTTTGGATAGACAGCTCTTTCAGAGCTAGTCCATTGAAAAATCAATGCTATGATTCAATGTTTTTGTAAGTGGGTTAGATGCTACTAACTGCAACAAACGCGACTTGATCTTATTTATAGTATGTTTCATAATGAGTAGTATGCGAATGACTAGAAGGGGAAATTCTGTTCAGTCACTCACATACTACTTATTGTGAGATTATATTTATATTTATGTTTTACCTTGAGCATATGCGTACTCGTCTGAATATAATACATGCATTTCTCCTTGGAAAACGATATCGTACCGAGTTCTTCTGACACCAGTGGATCATACTCAATCGATATCACATGTCATTGTTATCTACTGGTGGTGTAAGTTTCGATTCTCTGTTATTGTTATCATAAGAATATCAATACACTGTCTGTCTTTAGGCTACCAAGTAGTAAAATGACAATTTTCTCACAGATCCAGATCGGAATAAGATAGATTTTTCAAAAACAGCTTAAAAAGGTTAACGAATTACTTCACATATTACACGACAGTTGTGTTACTATTTTAAAACACGGGTATCTCTCCCTAAACTGAAATCAATTGTGTATAGATTCACATCCAGTTTTTCTATTTCAAGATACTTGTCCACTACATGTGCGTAAATGTTGGGGCATGTTCGTAACGTAAGATAAACAGGGTTTATTGGGGCCATTTCGAACTGACTTCAGCTCATCTTCTTTATCAATCGAACCAGTCACTCAAGGGGAATGTGCTCGAAGGATGTCACACAAACGGAAAAACTGAAATCATCAGAAAGGAAAGCAGCTATTCCCATCGATATCATGTAAACAACCAAAAAGAAGGTCTATATAGTTACGCCTCTTCGAGGACACCGTGGTTTAGACGATACTTTTCTTTGTTCGGTATCCGAACGGTAGACAATGTATGTATGCTTTCACATTAGTATGAGACAAACGAATCTGATCCATAAGCAGCACACTAACTGGATGTAAACCTGTATCACATCGAAGAACGATATTGATCGAGCATGATCGATTAGTGTCAGCGGAACATAGTACACACAGACGCGTACGCATATGTGCAACACAAAAGGGGTTTGGAGGTCGGACAACTCTAAAATCTGAAATCAACGTCCAGTATGAAAACTGACAGATTTGAAAACAGAACAATTTGAAATAATAATGGTAATGTGGTTTTGATTTAATTCGTAAATAGCTTACTTACTTTTTCAAAGTATGCGTTGTCCAGCTACTCTCATTCAAATATTGTGTCGAAGTGGATTTGAGATTGTGCTTTGATGGGGACAACAGGTGATGATCGCCTGTCAAACTGCGTGAACGTTTCAATTCCTGCAATTCACGACGTGTGGACATCAGTTCGTCTTGCAGACGTCGTTCACGTTCCGTGCTTGTCTCAGTCTCAAATGTGGTTGTGTAGTGTAATTGTGGTGAGCTGCTTCGACGGTTGTCAATAGACACCAGGTCCACTTTGGAAGCACCAACCGAAGGCTAAATATATTCGTGGGGATGAATAACGATGAAGGATGGAACTTGTGTGAAGTGAAACAAGAGGAATAGATACGAGCAGAAGCTGTACATGTCTGTTAGTACACTGACTACGGTCACTAAAGCAACTCGAGAATAAAGGGATCGGGATCCGTATGTGCAGTATGACAGGTAAATCACCTGTTAAACCGTTTCATGCATCGACGAAATACAATTTGGTCAGGGAACTTACCGCTCATTCACTCTCCTCCCCCCAGGACAGATTATTTACATGTCCGAGTATTTAGCCTCCTATTTCCCCAGTGCAAAACAGGATGTCCCTAGATTTTCATAAACACTACCCAGTTAGCATTGATTCACATACCGTACATGGCACAGTCTTTGTGGTCGAACTTCTGGGTTTATCAGAATATCTCTGGATAACAATCCCTCTGGTAACCTCATCTTCCTTAGTACGAGAACGTAACTTTACCCAGCAAGAACATAAATTAAGATAAATATCAGAAAAGGAACGGTATGGATTCCGTGGATGTTCGATTATCATCGAAAGGCGTGCCACTGGGTCAGAGCATAAAGGGGATTCAACGATGAATCAGGTTTTCAGCATTTTCGTCCCCGAATGAGGCAAGCTGGTTTCTGATCTATCACCGGCTTTGCTTGCTCACCTAAGTTCGGTAGATGATTTGAATCGCCCATTTACTGAGTTCGAACCCCGCGAACGCCAGTCATCTCCCTTAGCTCCGTACTTCTCCATGCAGCCTTCGTATAACCGCAGCTTCCCTTCGGAAATTTGGCTGTGCATTTGTGTACTTAACAAACAGGGTGAGGAGCTGCCTACATGGACAGACCAGAGAGGCACCTGTTTACCTGATTGGCTGAACACATACCGGTATGGGTCGAACGCGAGCGGGTGAGATTGAGCGCTACACAAACAACCAGGCCATCAAGCCAAAGCACCGGCGTCGTCAGTTGCTCTCTATCTGCTACAGACTGGCCACCAAGCTGATCGTGGGACTTCGTTTCAGATTGTTTACACAACCCCGAATGGACGGCTGTTAAGGTTTGCAGAGGCCATAGTAATCAAGCACCGAAAGCCCCTACAGTGTCAGCAGAAGGAGGTCTACATCAGTCTCGTGTTGCCCTGTTGACCACGTAAGCGGAAAAATGAACTGAAATCATGCTAGATTATCATGACTTGTGATATATAAAGTATTTTTTCTGCAGTAAGTACCAGCTGAGATGCAGCGAAATGATTCCGGAATTAAATCGTGCTCGCTTGCAGTGTTGTGTTCATTGTTTAAGTTCATTCCGGGAAATAATTGTTTCAACAGAGAAGGAACCGTAAAAAGCACGAAATACAACATTTTATATGTGTGCTTCTCAACCCTTCACCTTCTGTTCGAACACGCCATAAAACCGATGTGGAAGGTTGGTTTAGTCATCAAGTGTGTGGATTGGTGCAAGCTATTGCCGGTCTGTCCGGGTAGCCCGCTGGATCTGTTGTTGACTCCTCACTAATAGGTTGAAACACCTATTCAGAGTGCTTGTCATGCTGATTGACACTAGTAGTTCTACTTGATGAGTTCGAGCTGGATACATATAGGAATGGAAGTCGTACAAATAACCATACTGATATCTCCTAGTTTGACTTTCAATCGGATAATGGTGTTCGGGAGTTGAGAAATGCAGAATATCGAGAATACGACGACTGGCTAAAGAATTTTTTGTTTTACAACGAAAGGCACAATTTTGGCTAACGATTTTCATTCATGCCTTCACAAATATGATGTTTCCCTGCCTCACTCTCAAACGTTACTTGTTTCTTTAAGCTGAGTGTTTCTACGGTCAGTTTGACCTATACCGCACCGTATTTATTCTGGGTCGGCAAGTTTTATTCGTCCATCTGCTTGGACTTTCTCATCACGGTGCACTTGTCACTGATTCCGTTCCTCCATCGCACAACATAGCAAGCAATACTGATGTTGTCTTTCAGGTCAAACCTGCCACTTACGCACGCACGCGCGCACGCACCAACGCGCGCGCTCAGTCACTAGCGTTGCTTCATTTCAATTGAACCATATATTCTGAATGAAGGTCGACGCTGCACATTCCATCGAGTAAGTAAGTACACTTGCAGAAAGATGATAAATGGCCTTGATCAAAGTGCATGCGTGATCAAAATGGGGAAATTGGCGATCGCGCAATCAAGATGATGCTGTGGCTGTTCAACTCGTTTGATCAACTGATCTATCACCTGTTTCTTCCCTATGCCAACCATTTTGATCGAGGAAGAAGACTGTTCACTGTCGTGCCGGCAACAACACCTCAAATACAGATGGATAGAGGAGCAAGTCAGGGGAAATAACTGCAAATACTTGGAGCCATGCAGCAGTACACTCATAAAGATCACATGATCTCGAGAGGAGTACTTTTGATATGAATGACTATAGGCTTGAGTGGCTGGTGGCTCAGTTTCCTACGCTTTCCTTGCCTTGTTATTGAACTAACTATAAAATCGGTGAATCAAGGGAGACATATTTCTGCTTTTCCATCAGATAAAATGAAATGGTTTTGTTACGGATCCCATACTATTCATCTAATTAACCAAGGCAATTCCATACCATGGTCAAAACATTCAGTTTCGTCTAGCGTACATTCTTAATTGTTCAAATTGTGACAAGTTAAGGTAACCTGGGTGGGATTCGAACCCACGCCTGAAAACCGCCCACGTAATAGTTGCACAGTGCACGCTCTACCAGCTGAGCTGCGGAAAAAAACACTTCAATTTGTAAAACAAAGCTACTTGAACAGATTCGTAATTGTAGATCAAAGGCGACGGCTTAGCCGTCGTATCTGGGTAAATTAGTGCATTAATTGGTTGATTGGTATGTGATTCACTTTTGATGATAATGTTAGTTGATAGCTATGTTCATCCCTCGTAGAAGCACTTCGTATCATGAGTCTCCTAGTAGCAGGGTAAACACAATATGAAGAAATACATTTTTTCATTGTGTCTGTTTCACAAAGAATTAGCTTCACTCGTCCGAAAGATCTCTGTGAATTCTGCTTCGAACCGGCTTCTTCAAAAAGCGAACAGGAAATACATTAAGCCCTATTCACCTAACCGCTGTTTCGTTGATTCCCATCAGTATTTCCCCTCACAGGACGTGCCCGATTCCTCATAGACAGTAGTCCATTAACACACCATGAACTGTGGGAATTCCTTCCCTCTCCGCTTCAGGCAGGCAGAGAGACAGGCCAGCTGGTTAGCTGGTAGGCTGTCTATCTGGTTTGAACACATTGATTGATTGATTGATCGGTAGGTCGGTCGGTCGGTTGGTCGGTCGATTTATGATCGTTCCATGTTTGTTTGCAAGCCCAGTCATGTGCGTGTGGCCGATACCCGTTGCACTCTTACCGCCGAATTTGTCCTAAAGCAAAAGAGTGGGTGGGTGGGTGGATAGGGGTCATCCCAGAAAACTACGTTGGTGTACGAGTGACCGACTGACCGGCAGACCGACCGAGCTATCCACTGATCGATTTTCCGACCAAGTTAGTCTGCATGTTGTACTGGTACAACGGGAGAAAGTAAGCATATCCGACAGAACTTTGGCCGAAAATAGTAGTTCATGATCCGGACAAGTGTTCAGGCAGCTAAAATTAACCGAACTAAGAATGAAGAAGATGTGTGTGTGTGTGTGGGGGGGGACTAGTAGGGCAGTTTACACAGCTATAAAATCAGCGTAAGGTGCGCGTATTCAGTGTATTCAGTTGAATCAGTAGGTTCTTTTTGATTTTTATCTAGATGTTAAGAACAACTCGGATCTTGTTCGCAGGAGAACGGATGAAACTCGCTTATGTATTGGATACCATCAGATCATCGAACCAGCCGCCCACTTACTTTTGTGTTTAACTCCTTAAAGTACCATTTCTACATCGCTCAATGAAATCTGCAGATCATATCGTCGTAACTGAGGGAATTTACACGGACATTAGGAAAATTTGTGAGGCTAGAGACTGGCCTCAACCTACCTCAATGGAACAGTTAAGGGTGTTTCCGGGTTCATTGCTGTTCCTCTACATCGACTTAAAACCCGGACAGATCACCGTTTCGTCACATTGACTCAGGAGTTTTAAGAGCACACAATGTAGGCGAACATATATTTGCGATGAATTTCTTTTTAGGCGTTTGAATTCACCCGAAAGGTGGATGATTCATGTGTTTGGAAATGACCCCAAGAGAACTGCAAATTTGTGCGCTGTCTTTGGATCACATAACCAAAGTCGTTACGCCATGGTCGTGTGAACAAGCAATTTTCTCTTCATCTGGCCAGAGGAGTTTTGAGTGCTTGACTCAACTTGTGAATTTGGTTACGTGATCCAAAGACAGCGCACAAATTTGGGCTCATTGCCAAACACATGACTCATCCACCTTTCTGTGTGGCCCTATTGAAATTGTTTCATATAAATGTGAATGTAAAGGATTGAGAAAAGGAATTCACTGAAAGCATGTTCGCTCGCCTCCATTGTGTGTTCTTAATCAATGGGCTATTTCGTGAGTTATACGAATTCCGAAGATTAAGTGATGCCATGACAGGTAAAGAGAGCTACAACAAAATAGCTTCACCTGCGAGCAACAGCCTGCATACTGTCACACCAAGACTGACGTTCACAAAGTGTGCACCTCCTTGCTGTGAACAGAGGGGACTGAATGGAGCTTAATGCGCAGACAAACCGGTTCACGTATACAGCTGCCCACGAATCGTGAAATATATGAACCGTGAGCAGAAGAGTAGGCACTGTGTGGTCTATGGAATGATCAGTAAAAGCGTTCATGGTGTGTTTCAACTAGTTAAAAAACTGTAAGCTGATCGTGCCCAGCGTGAAAATGTATCCCCACTAACAACAAACCATTATATGATCTGTACAGGCACGATTATAAATCATTCGAAAACAGTTGTTCGCCTTCGGACTTGTGTTCTAAATGAAAAACGTTTGGCTTCATGTTACACATCCGCGGACAGATCGGTGATGATGGCTAATTGAAATACACAAACCAATCTTCGACGTCCCTTTGGTGACCCCACCGTTGAACAGTGAGATCGTGCAAGTCAAATGTATGCGAAGCGTGGGCCAGGATTAAGAATGACGTTTGGCGTTGTTCGCATCCCCAGAACATATGATGATCACGTGTTCGAATGTACAAGTCTGAATAGATGTATTATGCTAATTAACTACTTCTTTATTGGCTCGGTCCCTTTAGCTGATATATATATATATTTCTACCGTTCTCTGAATAATGTATCAGTGATACTGATGAGCTGAATGATGCCCATGACTCGGAAGATAGTGCTGACGGTTCGATGGACTGCCAAGATAAAATTCCACTGTTTTTTTTCTACTAGTGCATTAAGACTGTTGGGGGCCACGTGTAACGATGTGTTCAAAGAATTTTCATAAACGACACACGTCTACCGGTGGTGGAAGACATCGAAAACGTAATCAGTCAAACCAAAACTAACCGGTGTTGAAAACAAGCAGCGCGGGGAGGGGGAACGAAGATGTGAGTCCAAGATTCTGTATTGTTTCCGTGTTGTTTGCTCCTTACAATACACAGTGGATGCCAATTGGTTACGAATTCAAACTATTTCAATCGAGTGTCGGATAACACGGATGATTCACTCCCATGGACTGTCTTCATTCACAGAAGTAGATTGAGCGACGTTTTATCGAACAATAGTCTACCTACCATTGTATATTTCCCGAGACTGAACAATGTAGAATGTTATTCAATAACATTTTCGTCCACACTTTCAAATGAACAATTTAAAATACAATAAACAATAAAAAAACAGGCGATCAACTCTGTCCACTAACCGGATGTTTGACTAGCATCTCAATCGGATCCCGATGACGCTTGATATGCTGTCTGGTCAATGTGGTTGCATAGCGACCAGCACTTGAGCTTCCACCACGCCACAGTCCTTGTGTTCCAGCGCTTTGCATACTGGACCAGCGAGAGATGTGATGTGATGGTGGACTGGTCGCGGAGACCGTGTGTGACGCCGTCGTCCGGTAGTACGGCCGTTGCGAAGAGCTTTCAAAAGGTCGACGCGATTCCGAATATGTGCGACCACGGAACGTATCGGTCGCTTGATACGAACGCACTGTATAGGGCGGGGGAGATATTGCGCGCGTGCGTGCGTGCGTGCGTGCGTGTGAATAGTAGTATTAGGGTGGAGAATGAATGATGAGATTGCCAAGAGATGTTTCAGACGAGAGTGCAGTATGAAAAACCTAGGGATAGGTGAGGTCAGAACATAGAATAGCAGCAATCTATTATATTCGTGAGAACTATCAAAGACCACTAAATATTTGCTTATTCTTGGATGGAACTCACAAGCACTGAGTGATTTGTTTTTCGCCCTAGGCTGGAACCAAAAACAAAAAGGAGAAGAAAGATGTTTAACACTAGTCGATTGTCACATTGGGTTACGATTCTCTTGGCTTAATCTGGAACAGATAAACTGACGGAGGAAATATACGTCTTTGACGCGAGCATAACCGAGTATTCACAGTTCTATCCTGGTAGTTCATTATATGTTGTTGGTTGGACTCTCAGGCGTATGACGAGAATTGTGAAAGATAATACCAATAACCTGCATTAGGTGAACTATTTGTGGCGATCGATCCGGTAGAAACGATATCTTTGGTCCCCTTGGGGCATAGGCTGGAGTGCTACGTGGATACCGAAGTTGTTTTTTTGATCAAATATCTGGACCATCTGTAACGTACAGTAACACATTCCGGATGAACTTACACCGAGGCCATCATCAATTTGCATTTACTATCCACCCTGACCAACCGATCCTCTTGTCCAATCACCTTCGAAATCACTGTACGCATTCGACTAACAATCAGTTTGTTCAGCATTAGGAATTACAGTGAGAATGAGGATCGCGGTTCACAGTAGAACACACTTCGTGGTCCACAAGGTCCCTTGTTTTGCAAACCGCACGGCAAACCGAATCGGAGACATTTGAATAGAATATCGATCGGTTTCTACTCCACCAGTCAGATAAATTCTCCTTACAGCGAAGATACTTTGTCGTGAAAAATAGTCGCATAGTGCCAGCCCAGGTCAGAGGTTATATATTTCAAAAGTGAATTGGTCGTGCAAATGGGCCACGGCCCTAGCTGATCTCAGCACTAACCCTCGGGATTATTACTCGGTTGGAAACATTCACAAACTGATTACTTGTTTGATATGACTAATGAGGGATTTGATTCAATTTCGAAGGTCAATTCGTCGTTTATATATATATATA